GATAAATCAATGATGTATATTTCAAATAATGGGAGCCAGCATGGCAGAATTTGACGCAAAGAATGCAAATGAGAAATCTGAGCGTTCTTGAGTAGCCTCTGTCATAGCCAAGGGAACTCCACCCTGGATTGCACCGCGCCAGAAGATTTACAAGAGGGATCTCACCAAAGAAGCCCAGTTTTGTCTGTTCTCGTATAATGCCTACGAGAAATGAGATTGACATCAGTATCGAGAAGGAAATCCTCATTGCTTGCATCATGTCGGTTACCAATATTGGTGTGGAGAGCTTATATTCCCGGAGATTAGGATCCGAGCAAATGAGAAAGAAACCTCTCTCCATTTTTAATGCTTAATCCATGCTTTGTGTAAAGACGCGGCGGTTCCTCCGTTCACCTAACATAACCATATAGAAAAAGGTGTTCAGGACATTAACATCACTCAGCACAATGATGTTGCGGGTAAAGTGGTCGAAGATCCACTAGAGCAATCACTCACTCCCCCTCCGGCCTCGTCAGCCTCAGCAGCACCTGCTGCCTCATCAGTGCTAGACACTTCTTTTGCACCAACTACCTCCACATCCACTCCCAGACCAGCCATCGCAACACCACTTGTCTCACTGCCTGCACTCTCTAAGGTTGGTCTACTAGCACAACATGCAAATGCCAAAGTAGATAAATTTACAAAAGAACTTCCATCTCTCATTAGGCAAGCATTGGCCCCGATCCAAACCTCAGTAAGTGATCTTCAAAAGCAACATCTATCATATGAGGATCGACTCAAGCACTTTGAAGCTCGCCTTGAGAAGGTTGAGCAAGGTGGAGCCAGGGACATTCCTCAATTGAAATAGGATGTAGCTGAGCTCAAGTCGCAGCTGCATAAGATGCAGACATTGGAGAGTGATTTAACCACCCTTCTTCCAGTGGAAGGGGAGCAGAGTGCTGGAACCTCCCACGTACCAAGCTTCGATATGGATTTCCCAAACCTCCTATCAACTGAGGAGGACCATGGTACTGACATCTCACAAGCTCCAGGTTGCGTTGTACACAACCATGATCATTTTAATTAGGAACCTGGAGAGTCTCGTGAGGAAACTGATGGGGAGGAGATACATGAGGACGGTGATGATCAGAGGGACAACATAGGCAAACGGGTTTCCGTTTCTACAGTTGCACTTATTGAGGAGGAGGAGGATGTGCAGACAGCTACCGCACACTACCTTGCAGACATGGTTGCCAGGGCCACTACCGCGAACACGCAGCCATCATATGGTAAGGCCAGCAGCTCCCAGGTCCACGACCATCTCCGCAACTGACGGAGCTTCCTACTTTGGTCTCGGACACCACTGTCCAATTAGAGACTCCACCCACTGCCTCCACAGTGTCAGCTCACAGCCCTACGGCCGCCTTGGATATTCCAACCCCTCCAAGTGCCTAGTGCGCCCTCAGGGAGCCCCTAAGCTTTGCTCTTATTTTTTCAATGCATTGGGGAAAATGCATGATCTTAGGTTTAGGGCGGGGTAGTCAACTTTTTCAACTTGTATATAATCTTAGTCTGAATAATCTAGGTTTCTATATAGTAATGAATTCCCCTTGGATTTTCTTTGTCGGGTTCTTTTCAAAGGGTGTAATAGTAGAACCATTGTCGTAGCATAAATCGTTTGAATTGTTTGGTGCTCTTGTTCTAGCTTCAAGCATGTGATATGTTTTTGTCGAAAAAGAAAGCACCCTTCAAATTTTGCAAATAAACAGTTAGTCATCCTTTTGAGATCAAGGCTCCCTCTTTGACTTTGAGTTGCCTTGTATTCACTTGAGGGCCAAAATTATGCCGATTCGAGCAATTCATGTGTCGTGAGTGGTTGAGAATTTGTGTAAATAATGCATGTGCTCAACTTGTATTGTCTAGAACTTTCCCGGTTGGTTTCTCAATGCAAATCTCAGGTTGATGATTTGGTGTTGAAATGATCTTAGGCTCTCTTTGTGGTTGCTAACTATTTTTTGACCAAATTGACCCCCTGGTGCATTTATTATCCTAGTTATTCCCGGTTGAGCCTTTTACCTTATATTCGGCTACTACATTGCAAACATTTACCCTTTTTTATTTTATTTTATATAAATATACTACTTTGGGAAATGGTGAAGATGTACATTGTGTGTAGAATCATATACCTCAAAGTGGTATATTTATATAAAATAAAATAAAAAACACAATGTGTGGAGTCTTGTGAAAATTAAAGAGATACTTTGAGGTGGTTCTATGTGGGTAACTAGAGGTCAATAAAGGCCATATGGTTTAAAAAGAAGTAAAGTGTGTGTAGCGTTCAAGGAGAGTGCAGTCACTATATTTCCAAATATTCATCAACCTATCCCGAAGCTTACACTATAATCCTTAAAAGGTCCTTTTTAATCTATATCCAATTAGTCTTCATATAGTAATTAGTTAAATTAAGGGCAAGCATATGGACTGATACTTGTAGCACTTAGTCTTCTTTCTGAGTGCAAGAGGGTTTGATTGTATCCCTGTACATATTTGTTGAGTTGGGGATTTTCTTTGATGTGAGCACGCATGAATTGTAAGAGTTAGCATAAATTAGGTTTTTTGAAGTAGGATACAAGTTCATATCTAGCAATGGGTAGCACTCTGTCGTTGGTCTTGAGGCTCGAATCTCACAAACTGATTATTCAAACTGTTAATGATCTTTGTCTTCAAAAAAGGGTGAATAAAAGAAGTTGCATGCTTGTTATATAACAGTCAGCACCATCCATACTCACTGTTGTTTTTTCATCAGTCGGAAGTATATTAGTATTTGGTAGGTTGACTTTTTAGTTGCTTGAGGACAAGCAAGAGTCTAAGTTGGGTTTGTTGATGTACCATAGAATTGTGGCACTTTTGATATTAATTACACAATCTTTAGCTCATCTTTTAAAGCATTATAAGTCATTTCTTATGTAGTTTTGGTGTTTCGTAGAAAATCAAATTTGAAGAGCCAAGAATATGAAAAAGATGAAAAAAAAACCATGGAAAGGCAGAAATGCGGCAGGTCTGCCACCGCAAAAGTGATGTGCAGGCCATAGACCAATTGTAGTGTGAAGCAGAACATTCCAAATTCTGAGAGTAAATTTTGCGATCCATTGTGTGGCCGCATAACTCTTGTGCGGCTGCATAACTCTTGTGCGGACCGCATAGTGATCGCTCAAATGAAAGAAAATTTCTAGTGAAAATGACTTTGCGGTACGATATGCGGTCGCGAAATCAATATGCGAACTGCATAACCAAAATGCGATAGAAAAATGAAAAATTGTGTGATCAATTCTGCGACGGAAATGAAGACGTGTGGAATGTGAAAGCCCTTAGTGACCAATTCTGCAGTCGCAGACTTGATTTGCAGGGCCATTTTTATCACTTTTTGACCACGACTTTTAGCCTATTCTAAATAGAATGACTGGGATTCTTGTGGACCATCTTGTCTCAAAAAGAGGCTACACATTTTTTTAGCAAATCCACTAGTCAGTGTGTCCAGGGCTGGTTTTTATATATCTAAAAATGAAAACAGACAATGTCTGGATGTCTTACAAAATGTATGAAATAAACTTTGATGCTTACATATATCCTATTATCAAAGGTGGGTGAGATACTCCCCAATGATATTACATAATGACCTATAATATTATTACCCAAACTTAACTAGCCATTGAAGCCCATAAAATAAAGTTGCCCGATGATGCATAAGTAGCCTCTTTTGATTTGCATCTTGATAGACATTGTTCATCTTGTTTTTCCTTGTTGTTCCCTTTCCTGGTCTTTTAACATAATTTACACTGCCCGGTTACTCAGTAATTTCTCCCAGAAAGTTCTGCATTCATAGAACATACCTCTTCCCATTCTTGTGACTTTTGTTCCTGCTGCTTGTCGTCCTTCTAGCTGTGTCCTGCTAGCATATTGCATTGATAATCTAGTCCAGATTGTAACGACTGAGTCCAACATTCCATGCCAAAATGTGTATTGCCCAGTTTTTGCACAGTTATGTAGCCACCTGCTGTTTATCTTTTCTATTTCTTGTGACCTCCAGCTGCTTCTTATTGACTTCTTTATGTAATGTTGATCTTTGAATGTTGAGTTAATGGAATGCATTGTGATTTTAGGCCACAATGTATCCATCCTTCCAAGATTTGATCGCAAAAAACCAACACTCCAAGTGATTGTGAAGGAGTTGAAATCCTCATGTGAAGTGTTCCATTCTTTATGTTTGTTGCCCTTAAACTTCATGCTTGTGCCTTCTATTGTTACTCCTTCAAGGGAATGAGCACAAAGTACTAATACCACCCTTTGAATTCGTAACAAATAGGAGGACATGGTTACAGTAATATTACCTGCAAAAAAATAGCACTAAGTTAGAATATACACAGGCCATCATGTCCTCCTCCCAAAAGATTTGGATCTGGTCCTCTGCAGCAATATGATGTGTTGCACTTCTCATTTCCTGACTCCCTGTATATGTAGCCCACATATTTGGGGGTGTTGATGTCACCAACCATACCCCCTGTGATTTTGTGAGCTCCAGGCTGCCCCTTAATTTTTTGACACTGATGCATTACTGCAACTTCTGGACAGCCTCTTGTATGAATTGTTCCAGTAGGAACTGCTGTGTTGCCTATTGAAAATCCTCCACGCTTTCATGGTTTTGCTCGTCACTGATATCCCCTCTTGGGAATGAGCATAAAGTGCTAATACCACACATAGAGGATTTACCAGTAAATAAAGCATAAACACACAAACTATTCCTGCAAAAAAGAAAACTCTGTTAGTAAAAAAACTGATTACTTTGATCTCCTCCATAAGGACTCGACCATAGTAGATGATATTGTCTTCTGTTCCTATATTCCTCCACCATGAGTAGATCATCATACTCTCCTCCTGTTTGATTTGAGTATGATAGTCTAGCATTACCTCATCAACTGCCTGCATATCACCTCTCCACCCTGTTACCTCCTCTCCTTCTAACTTCATGCAACTTTTACTCTGATATATGGACATTGTGACTTGTCATCATTCACTATCTTCCTTCCTTGTATATCCAATTCCCAGAAATTGTTTGCCTCAATTACTCCAAAGTCCAAAGCATAATTAGCTAAGTGATCAGCTAATATGTTTCCTTCTCTTAGAGTGTGAGCCACTGTTACATTGCTTCTGTTCATCAACTCCTTGATCTCCTCCAACATAGCTGCTATATTCCATGGTACACTCCATTCTTCATTTAGGACATTCTTAAGCATCATAGAGTTTGTGTGTAACTTAATGAGTACATAGTCATTCTCAACACAGAACTTCATAGCTTCCAAAATTGCTTTAGCTTCAGCTTCTGTATTTGTTCCTTCCTGCACTTCTTTCCCACAGCCATATACTAGATCCCCTTCCTCATTTCTTAGCACATACCCTATTGAACTCCTCCCAGGATTCCCCCTTGAGGCCTCATCTGTGTTTACCTTAATCCACCCTGAACTTGGACAATCCCACAACACTTTAGTATATATCAACATAGGAAGACAAGACTCAAGTATATGCAGCAGGTCTGGCCATTTGTGTGGTACATTCTGCAGTTTTGGTTTTCTAAATTGCATAAGAGATTGCATAGTAGTAGAGACCTGGTTTATGACTCTATTAATTGTCACAGTATCTCCATGTTTGTAGCTTTTCCTCCTTTTCCAAAGCTCCCACACAATGACAGTTGGTAGTGCTTGCAGTATAGGTTCAATTCTGGGCAACACATCTGATGTCCAGCATCTGGTAATAGCCTGACGCAATGTAATCCCTTCTAAGGCAATGCCTGCATGTCCAAGAAAGTATTTCCACACTCTAACAGCAGCATATGATGTGAAGAACAGGTGTTGCATTGTTTCCTCCTGAGGTTCAGAATAGCACCAGCATTTAGAAGCCATGAGATAACCCAGTCATCTGAAAAAGTCATCTAAAGCCAACTTGTTCCTCCAAACTTTTCACATAAAAAATGATATTTTAAATGGAAGACCTTTCACCCATATCTTCCTGTATGCATTGCAAGGTTCATTCATTCTTCTCAAATACTCCCAAGCTGATTTCACACTACATTCTCCCCTAGATTCCAGCATCCACCAAGGCTTATCAAGTACCTCATGCATAACTGGAGGTTTCAATTGCAGTAGAATATGTTCTGCTAATTCCTCTGGTAGAATCTCTCTAATCTTCTCCTCATTCCACTGACCATTGTCCACCACATCATATATGTTTTGTATCAATTCATCACACACAAAATCTGGAGGAGTAACAAAATATAATGATCCCAGGCATGTCCAATTTTCAAACCAGAATAGTGAAGACCCCATCTTAGGCTGCCAGAATATTTGATGTTCTATAAGATCTCTACACTCCAACATCTTTCTCCAAACATGAGAACCCTTTCTCCAAGGAACAATCTTAGGATTTAATTTCTTGCAATACTTCTGACTCATAAAAGAACTCCATAAGCTAGGTTTAGTTCTAAAGTTCCACCATAGTTTAAAAAACAATGTTGTGGACACATCATGTGAAGATCTGAAACCAACACCCCCTTCTTCACAAGGCAAGCATAATGTAATCCATGAAGCCCAATGTCTATTTGTTACCCCTACTGTATTACTCCAGAAGAACTAAGCAAAAATTTTATGCAATTTGTCAATCACATACGCTGGGGGATTAACTGAAGACAACAAATGTATGGGCATGCTCTGCAAGACATGAGAAATTAGTATAGCACTCCCCCCTATAGACAACAGCTTCCCTTTCCAGTCTTGTAGCTTATCCATTACCTTAGTAATGAGTCCTTGATAATAGTCCATCCCTCTCCTAGCATAGAAGATAGGACAGCCAAGATATGTAAATGGGAATTCCTTTTTAACAATACCTGTTACTCTTCGCACCTTGTCCACCACTTTTTCTCCAACTGAGTGATGTAGATATATGGCAGATTTGCTCTTGTTTATAAGCTGCCTAGAAGCAATCTCATATCCTGCTAACACCTCCATAATCAATCTCAGTGATGTTGCATCAGATGAAGAAAAGATAATGGTGTCATCTGCATACGCAAGATGATTAATCTTTGGACTCCACTTAGGCAGTACAAAACCACAAAAGTGCAAATTTTTATGCAATAAATGCAGACCCCTTTACAAGGCTTCAGTAGCTAGTATGAATAATGTAGGTGAGATTGGATACCCTTGTTTGAACCCTCTTGTCGATTTGAAAAAACCATGTGGCTGACCGTTTAGTAGTACAGAATACCAGTTATTGGAGACTATGCCATATACTAAACCAATGAATCTTTCCCCAAAGCCCATCTTCCTCAATACCTTAGTTAGAAATAGCCATGATAGTCGATCGTAAGCCTTAGTCATGTCCAGTTTTATGACAACATTTCGACCAACTTTATTTCTCAACCTAATATCTGTAATGATCTCCTGAGTTAATAGCACATTCTCCACAATACTCCTCCCTTTTTCAATTCCAGCCTGCTCTTCAGAAATAAGGTTTGGAAGTAACACTGCTAGCCTTTCATGCACTACTCTAGAGAAGATCTTATTAACAAAATTACTCAAGCTAATAGGTCTCATATCTAAGAATGTAGTCACTTCTTTCTTCTTTGGTAATAATACCAGATTAGTGTGAGTCACATATATGGGAAGCTCATGCCCATTGAAGAATGCCTTGACCATTTCTACAATATCCTCTGCTATTATGTCCCAACAGGTGTGAAAAAAACAACCAATAAATCCATCAGGGTCCCCTGCACTTTCCCCATTCAAACCAAAGACTACATGCTTTACCTCCTCTATAGTTGGTTGTTTAATTAGCTCCAAGTTTTCCAGGTTATCTAACATTGATGGAACATGATCTATTATGCCAAATGATGATGGAACTGCTTCTTCATGGAACTGAGCTGTGTAAAATCTCACTGCCTCCTCAGGCATACCAGCATTATCTTCAAGCCAAATTCCACTAGCATTCTGCACCCTTTTCACCTGTAGCCTTCTTCTTCTACCATTGACTTGAGCATAAAAAAATTTAGTATTTCTGTCCCCATCCTTAAACCATACCATCCCTGATTTTTGTTTCCAAAATTCCTCCTCCAAAGTTAAAAATCTGATCAGTTCTGCCTAGACCTTCTGCAGTCTCTCTCTATTATGATATGTAGGGGCCCTCTCAAACTGAGCTTCATGAACTAATACCACCTCCTCAAGACTAGCAATTTTCTGGAAAATGTCCCCATATGTTGCCCTACTCCATGCAGATAAAGCTTTCTTCAGTTTCTTTAGCTTATGATTGAACACATAAAAGGGATCACCCAAAAAGTCAGCCTTCTAGTTTTCTAGTACCACTTCCTTGAAAGTTGGATGCTGCCACCGAAAGTTTAGAAATTTGAAAGCTTTTTTGATTGGTATAGCATCTGGATTATACTGCAATAGCACTGGATTGTGATCGGATCCAATTTTGGATAACTGAGTAACCTCTAGATTAGACCACATCTGCTGCAATTCTACATTTCCCAAACATCTCTCCGGCCTTTTAAATATGCAATCCTCTTCACCTCTCCCATTCCAACATGTACAGATACTCCCTTTGAATCCAAGATCGATGAGGTTACAAGTGTTAATGCAATGCCTAAAGTCATTGATTTCATTCAAGGACACTGTTAAGCCCCCAAATTTCTCCTCCTTATCCCAAATAACATTAAATTCACCCCCCACAAGCCAGGGCAATGACATGTCTCTGGACAAATTATACATACTATCCCATAATTCAATACGCTCGATGGAGTCACATTTTGCATACACAAAAGTGACCATAAATGAGATTTGTGTATCCAGGTTTGTAAACTTCATAGTCAGTTGTTGCTCCAGATCATATATAATGTCAACACCATGGTCATCATCCACAAATACCCAGATTTTGTTTGAAAAATTTGCAAAGGCCTGCAACATTCCTATTCTCCTCCTATATCTTTCCAGTTTCTTCTTTTTCTGCTTTGGTTCCATAATTCCTATGAACTTGAAATGATTTTGTCTTTGCATTGTAATGAGTCTCTCAAATGCTTGCATTGTCTTCACTGATCTCACATTCCATATAATGGCATTCATCATTAATAATGAGATTTAGAGAGGGTCCTTCTTGTTTGAACCCCTGGCACTACACTTTGAGTATTTTCTTTTGGTTGTCTCTTCTTGCCTCTTCCAGCTGATTTACCCTTATCCAAGTACCTAGGTGATAAATCACCTTTTTTTTGCAATGTTTCTGAAATTCTGGCAGGTAGATTCAGCATCTAAATCTCTTCCCTTGCCTTACATGTTATCTGCATTACCCCTATTCTCTATTGGATCTGGAATTTGATTTCCTGTTGAACCAGGAATCAACCTTTTATGTATGCCACTCTGCCCTTCACCATTTAATGATTGAATCAATCATGCATTGATGGCAGGGTTAGCTGACACACCTTCATTGTTCTTCCCATGATCTCCTCCAATTCCTTCACCTTCTACATTTGCTATAACTCCCTCAGTGCCTGCAACCGTTGCAACAAGAATATCAGGTCCTATATTAGGCTTAGCTGGAGGCAACACTTTATTAGGACTAGGACTGTTGATTTTTTGCACAGGTTGATCTCCTGCAATTGCATTCTCTTGATTGTTTACATCTGTAGCTTCTCTTTGATCAACTATAACTTCACTAGATGTTCCACCTTTGAGATCTGACTTCCTGCACTCCTTATTAGCCTTGCCATTAACACTTTGTTCCTCTTCTTTCTTTTCCTCATCTGATGATTCCTCCTCACCACTGACACCCTCAGGTAGTTCACCTTCCTCTGAGTATTATTCAGTTTGTGCATCCCATAGCTTTCCTCCACTAAGTTGCAATCTTTCCTTAGCATTGACCTCTTTAACTACTGCATCAAATTCAGTTGCCCGTGAGGGAATTTCCTGACATGATTGATTAGTTGCAACAACATTTTCAGCAAATGTTCTGTTCACCCATGCTGCTGTAGATTCTTTTTGCATACCCTCAACTATTACATTCCTACTCCCATTAATTTTTTGGGCTTTCTTGGAAGTGCTTCCTATTCCAGTTGACTTAGGAGTAAATGTTGCTTCCTTAGGATTTAAAGTCCCAGCTAAGGTAGGACTTCTTGCTTCAAACCTTTCTTCTATCACCTCCAACTGATTGTTGTCTTCACCATCCTGATCCTCTAGAGCTGCAAACTTATTAGCTACATGAATTTGTTTATTCTTCCTTGTATTAACTTGTCACGACCCAATTCCCAACCCGGTCGTGATGGCGTCTCTCGTGAAGACAAGGCCAGCCAACAGAACAACAACGCCTCTTTAAAAATTTTTAAACATAAATGATTAGATAAATACAACTTAATGACAATAACAATCGATATATATACGACCCAACACAGCCCGACCGGGGTGTCACAAGTCACGAGCATCTAGAAGGATTTTTGATACAACTACAAAGCATATAATACATAGAATAAAAATTTGGAATTAAAAGAAAGAAGTCCGGTGCCGCGAACGCTGACGGTCACCTTGCTCAGCTACGATAGCCAATCCTCAACCAGCTCAAACCCGCTACCGGGTAAACCAATACCTGCATCTGCACGCGAGCTGCAGGGAGTAAAGTGAGTACTCCAACTCAGTGAGTAATAAAGGTAAATAATAACTGAGCAGCAAGAAATCACGAAAGGCACTCCATCATGCTATATAGAACAGTGCTACCCTTTGAGAAAACAGTAAAACCGTGAAATCCTTTAGAAAATCTATCTGGGCTCAGTTAAAACCTCTTTTGAAAATGTCTTTTTCAACAGTTAAGCAAATGAATGCGAAACAGATAGTGCAAGTTAACACATAAGTCAGCCCCTCGGGCACAGCACTCCATCAACAAATAACACCAGGGTATCAGGTAAGCAGTGCAAGAAGTAGCATAGAAGCCAATGAAATGCGAGTGCTGAATGTCATGACACGTAATACAAACAGGAACCAATGCATGAGTGCAATGCAATGCATATGACCGCTGCGGCGTGCAGCCCGAGCCATCCATATTTAATGTCGACGGCGCTCACTGGGGGTGTGTACAGACTCCGGAGGGGCTCCTACAGCCCAAGCGCAATATCAAGCCATCTCGTGGCATCAGCCAGGCCCTCGGCCTCAATATCAATACAATATCGCTGCGGCGTGCAGCCCGAGCCATCCATATATCCAGAAATCACTATAACACTACTGCGCCGCGCAGCCCGATCCATGCTCAGTCCAGAAATGCACATAAGCCACTTGGGCAATATCCAAATAATGGT